AAACCCACTTGTACTAGTTTCCTTCTGCAACTGTAACAAATCACCATGAACCGAACAGCTTAAACAATATAAATATGTTATCTCACAGTGCTGGAGATCAGAAATCCAAACATCGAGGTGCTGGCAGGGTTGCATTCCTTGGGGAAACTCTAGGGAAGAATTCATTTCCTTGCTTTTTCCAGCTCCTGCAGGCCCTGCCAACAAGGGCATTGCTGCAAACTCTGCTTCCGCTGTCATGTCTCCTTCTCGGCCCCTGACCCTCCTGCGTCCCTTGTACAAGGACCTTCCTGATGACAGTGGGCCCACCCAGATAATCCAGGATAATCTCCCCATCTCAAGATCCTTAACTTAGCCACACCTGCAGAATCCCTTTTGCCACGGGAGGACACATATTCACAGGTTCCAGGGGTTAGGGCATGGCCATCATCGGGGTGGAGGTGGGATTATTGGCCTACCACTGCCTCTCCCAGTGATACTGCTCACCCAGGAGGCTCTCAGCCCCACCTCACCATTCATTCTCCATAATGGAAGACAGTTCACTCCCTTCATAGCACCTTTTTTTTTAATTGTGAAATTCTTATTTTGATGATAAGCCTACTTAATAAGGGAAACTGTGGTTCCCTCAGGACAGACAGAGCACATCGGTCTCGCCCAGCTCCCGGCACAGGGCTTTGGCACTGTCGGATGAATGAATGAGTAGTACAGCTATTGTCATTGAACATGTGAGTAAGGTGAGGCACAGAGAGGTAAAACAACTTGTTGGGATGACGTTACCAGGTCAAAGCAGGGCCTGGGATTCAGCCTTGTGATGTTCCCATGGCCTCTTGCCCTCATCAGCTTGGGATGCCAACAACGTGTCCTCCCAGAGACCAGAAGTGTGAGGAAAGGCCCAGGTGGGCTCTGTGCTCAGGATGTTGGAATCTTGAGGTGTTTAAATGACATTACTCAGATTCTTCCCTTCACTCTCTGGTTGGGAACCTAGCTTCGGTGGAGACAGCCTGAGTGTATCCAGAATCCCCAGCCCTGGAAAATCCAGCTGCCATGACCAGATCTGGATAGCAGCTAGCAGTGGCATCTCAGACTGGGTGTGGGGGACCCTGGCCCTGATTATGAACAGACTCCACTGGGCCACCCAGGCAGCACTGAGCAGGCCACCAAGAGACAGCTGCCCAGGCCAGAGGCTCTGGGATGTGGGGTAGACAGGACAAAAACTTCTAGGTGAGGCTCTGCCCACGGCACCTCACTCTCGCCACATTTCCAGTTTTTTGTTCATTTGTTCATTCATTTATTCACTCATTCATTCTGGAGGCTATCATGTGCCAGACGTTCCTTTGCACTGAGGACTCTGAGGTTGACACCAGTGTGCCGCTCAAGAGCTGCACTCTCCAGTAGGGTAGCTGTGAGCCTCCCGCAGCCTCTGGGCACTTAAAGTGTGGCTGGTCTGAATTGAGATGTGCTGTAAGCGCGAAATATACCCTGGATCCCAAAAACACATACAATAAAACACCAAAAAAAAAAATGTAAAAGAGCTCACTAATGCCTTCTTATGTTGAGTATATATTAAAATGATAATATTTTGGATATATTTGGTTAAAGAGAATATATTATTTAAAAAAATTTTTTTAAATTAATTCCATCAGTTTCTTTTTGCATTTCTTAATGTGACTACTTAGAAAAATTTTAGTCACGCTTGTGGTTCGACTTATAAATATAAGAAATAGGAATCTATGAGACGGTGCTGGTCTACTGACTCACAACATAGGAGAGAGGCCAATGGGAACATTACAAGCCTGTGGGTAGGGGTGGTGGTGTTAACTAACCTGAGGTGCCAAAGGAGCCCAAACAGAAGTACTTGGGCCAGACTGTGAGGGTCGGGTGGGGGGCACAGAGCAAATGCCCAGAAAAGCCCACACCTGAGTTGACAGCCACATGACAAATTTGAATTAGCTCTGGGACAAGGCACTCCAGGAAGGGACCCAGGACATACAGAGGCACAGCTGAGAGCCCAGTGAGCTTCAGATGCACCTTGCATGGTGGGAGTGAGGGGGTGGCAGAGGTGAAGGGAAGCAATTAAGCCAGAAAGGCAACAGTCCTCAGCTCCTGAAACATCCAGTCCAGTGCTGTCCGGCCGAATTATAATGTAAGTCATGTGCAAAGTTTTCAATTTCCTGGTAGCCACATTCAAAAAAGCACAAGAAATTAATTTTAATAGTATGCTTTCTTTCACCCAATATATTTTAAATGTTATTATTTCAACATTTCATTAACGTCAGTGGTTCTTACTAAGATATTTTGTATTCTTGATTTATAGTTATTAAGTCTTTGAAGTCTGATGTGTATTTTACACTGACAGGGGAACACAGTTTGTACTAGCCACGTTTCAAGTGCTCAGTGTGACTACTGGCTTCCATATTCGGCAATGAAGGTCTTCCAGATCTTTCTTTGGAATACAATGGGAAAAAGTTTTAAGCAAAAGAGTGCTCTCGAACAATCTCTCTGGCAGCCTCCAGGGAGACAAGTTCCCCCATACTGGGCTTTCTGGAGCCCCTCACCACTAACTCTGCCATCACCCACAGGGATACCTCCATGTATAAACTGTTAACCTGAAAGGAAAGTCTCTTTTTGTAGACTCTACCCTCCCATGATGTTATCTGAGGGCAGTTCTGGGGTGTAAAGAGCAAAGCCCAATCCTGAATTTTGTCCAGAGTCCTGAAAAAGGAAAGCTGCTCTCTTAATTCCCACATGGTTCACACCACCTTTCAGATGGCGACCAGAGGTGGACCCATTGGATTTCATCTTTGGGTTTCTCATCTGTGAAACTGTGATGCAAATGTCACTTATGAGGCTTGGTATGTGAATAAAATGAAACATCATATGTAAAGTGCCTCACCCTGTAGCTTGATAATGAATTGATCAAAAACTGGTAGTTTCTTTCCAAGTTGTCCTCAGAAGGGATCTTTCACATCTCCAAGAGCAGTCTGAGAAGAGGGTGGAAATTCAAACAGCATGGCTGGGAATTAGACTACTTAAATGTATACTCCCAACCCTTTATCCATGTCTCACCTAGGGAACTTCAAGGAGGCAGTTTATTTCATGTCCAAAAAGCATGCAGATTAGAGCAGCACTGCAGGGGGCTTTTTCCCTAGCATCTCAATAAGCTTTAACTGGTGAGAAAATAGCTTTTCAGTTTCCCTGGGCTCTGTGTTATGGGAGAAGCAGCTTAGAAGTTGTTCCTAATCGCCAAGGAGTTTCCAGGTGCTTAATGACATACCAGGGGGATAAACAATTGATTCTGGGGAGTCATTATGTGAGACTCTGAGATGTTACCTACCACTGTCCTCTGCCTTTGAGAATCAAATGGAGGAGCGGATCTGGGCAGATTTGGGCAAAGGCGTTGGTTTTGAAGTCCAGTAGACCTGAGTTTGAACCACAATCTGTCACCAATAACTATGTATTATTTGGGCAAATTACTTCTATTTTGGGGCCACTGGGTATTTATCTGTAAAATGGGCATAATACAGTAAGCCCTCCATATCTGTAGGTTTCACATCCATGAATTCAACCAACCACAGATGGAAAATACTTGGGAAATAAAATTCCGCAAAGTTCCAAAAAGCAAAACTTGAATTTGCCACGCCAGGTGCTACATTGAATTCATGCAAATGAAGTGATATGTAGGCACTGTATTCAGTATTATGAGTAATCTAGAGCTGATTTAAAGTGTACAGGATGATGTGTGTAGGTTATATGCAAATACTATGCCACTTTATATAAAGAACTTGATCTGATGTTCCATTGCACATGAGGGTGACTATGGTTAACAGCAAAGTTTT